TCTAATGAATACCTTTTAGGACTCTGGGGGATAGACTCAGGCAAAGATCTTCTCCTCTGTGTCCTCAACCAGCTCTTGAAATCGCCCGCGTTGCCACAGGACTTCTATCGGGCTCATGTGGCTCTACTTCCCAAGGCCAAAGAGATTCTCAGCCCAAAGGACTACCGTCCTATAAACCTCATCGAAGCTCTTCACAAACTGTATTCGTGGTTATTAGTGGCTCGCTTGCAGCCTGGTTGGAGTACTCCTCGACTCCAGAAAGGTGGAGTCAAGGGGAGCCAAGTGTGCGACGCTTTGTCTTCAGCCCAGGCGAGAGTGACGAAGGAATCCAAGACTCGCCAATACAATATCTACTTGTCCTGCGATATCTCTGCAGCCTTTGACAATCTTCGTCAATCCGCAGTGGCGCGCTTCCTGCTGGAACAGTCGCCCAGAGATCGCCTGCATGAGTCGTGGCAACTCCTGCAACTCATCCTCCATCCTTCCTTGGAATTTCAGTGGCTTTCTAGAGAATGGAAGGTTGACCAAGTTTGTGGATTGCAACAAGGGGGCTCTCACAGCGCAGTGGTTTTTAGTTATGTCTTGGGGAGGGCAGTGCAGTATTTGGAGGAGAAATGGAGCTCGGATGGAGAAGAATGTCAACACTCGTCCTTCTTTCTTTTATTTGTGGATGATATTTTAGCCACCTTTAAGGACTGGAGTCAAGCATCTAGGCTCGTGAGTCAGCTCATTGAGTTTTTGGCATCCTTGGGTCTTGCGCTAAACCCTTCCAAGACGAAGGTAATGTCCCACGAGTCCGTTCTCAGGGCAGGAGCCGACTTTGTGTTCCCGCCGAGCTGTTTTCTGCGAGACCTGTCCTGGGGAACAGAGTGCCTGTACTTGAAGAAGAGGCTCACACATTTTGAAACGGGGGCTCAGGCAACTCAGGTGGGATTTGCAGATTCCACCGCCGTGATGCTTCAATCCCTGGGACGAGCCACCCATGTGGCGTTTGAGTCGCTCAAACAAGCATTGAGGAGGGGTCACTGGTGCTGTCCTAGGAAAACAATACAACTGTGCAATCAATACCTCGGGGCCACATGGTTCTGGTACTCGCCGGTTATGGAGCCCCTACAGAAATACCTGGTGCAAGTCAGGAGTATGCAGGTGACTTTCCTCACCCTCATGCTTGGCTTGTGTGTCCCCAGTTCTTTTGGTCCTCCGGCAGCAGCTTCCTTGAATAGAACTAGGCGGCGCGCGGTGCTGGTGTTGCTCAATTGGTTCGTTGCCTGTCAATGGGTGCACATTTGGGTCAAGCGACGCTGGGGGTACCTGGGACATGTGTTGAGATTCCCTGAGGATAACGTAACACGTGTTGATTTACTGGCGCTGTCTAACACCAAACAGGCAGCTCCGGGTCCGTGGCGCCATCTGCATGCGTGGGGAATGAGCTGCCTCAATGTTGATGCCCAGCAGCTTAGTGATAGAGCTCGGGACAGGGAGGCGTGGACATCTTACACAGCTGATATCCTTGACAAATACGCATATCACCACCCAATTTTCAACCCCGCAACGGCTTCGAATTGGAGAGATACAGTAAGGCTTCACACTCCATGGCGCCTAGCAGTTCATGTGTGCGTGGCATCAGCTGGGTGGACGGTCATGTGGATTGATGAGGAGTACGGGTTGCAGGAGTTTACAAGATTGGGACAGATCCAAGAGGTTCTACAGATTTGGCTGCTTTGGATTCAGTTGGAATTTGAGGGCCTTGTGATTGACGTTCATCTGCAAGATTGGATGCAACAGTGCTTCTATAGTGAGCTAGTTCGGTTTCATGAGAGTACCTTTAGATCTTTCAACTTTCTCATACTCTATAGTGTCATTCCTGAAACGTGGGCCGAGAAGCTGAGTCGCCTGCTCTAGTCCTTCTGTCAAGAGTACAGGGGGATTGGGGGCCTTGCTGTCACGAGTACGGGGGGGCTTGCAGGGCGGCCTTGGCTCAGAGGGGATGTTATCGAGGCGGGCGAAGTCTCTTGGAAAGGGTTTAGGGTTTAGGGTCATGAACGCTGTTACCAGGGCCTCCTGTCCCTAGACACAAGATGCATAAGACACAGCCGATGGCTCAATAATGCATTGCCATCAGCCGTCAACCATTATCTATACAGCAGATGGGTTGCCCTACCTACAAGGCAGCTCGCATCGGAGTGCTTGCTAGGGAAGATTGCGCAGTGCGCGGTGCAGTCGACCCCACAGCCTTCCAGTTGTTTCCGTTCTTATCCGCTCCAGCTGCTGCCCATGGCGATGCCACGGCTTGCGGGCGCGCATGCCGCAATCTTCAGGACAAATGCCTGTGGTGGTGTTTGTCAGCCATATACCCTAAACCCTAAACCGCATCTATATATATATATATATATATGTATATACGCGATCAGCCACTCTGCCGCAAAGCCTGAGGACACTTCGAACTTCGGGAAGGCTACAAGGCCTTCGAACACACCTGGAATCAGCTATTGTGGGCCACATGCTACACCAGCACCCTATACCCTAAACCCCTCTCTGTGTATCTCACCAACTGACCCAAAACACACGCGCGCCCCTGGGGGCGGCCTTCCTTCGGGGGGGCCATGCGCGCAGGAGAGAGAGAGAGAGAGAGAGAGAGAGAGAGGAAACCAACAAGGAAACCCCAACATGCATTTCACCGGGATCTCGCACTCGGGCGCGCCTTGGTGCGCGGGGGGGCCCTTGGGTCTCCTCATGCCCAGCAGAAGAAGAAGAAGAAGAAGAAGAAGAAGAAGAAGAAGAAGAAGAAGAAGAAGAAGAAGAAGAAGAGAGAGAGAGAGAGCGAGAGAGCGAGAGAGTGTGTGCCTGCCCCCTAGGCCACATGAAAGAAAGAAGAGTGTGTGTGTATGTGTGTATGTGCTGCTGAACCCTAAACCCCCAAAGCCCGAACTGGCCTGAAACTTGCTGCAAGAGGCAGCTGGCACCGACACTGCGCATCCTGCAGCTGTCGGAACCTCTTGGGCCTTCCAGAAGGTGGGTTTAGGGTTTGGGGTTTAGGGTTTAGGGTGTTTGCGTTACTGCGTTTGCCTAGACAGACAGCTTGTCGAAGGCTGACTTCAGGAGTGTGGGTTCATAAACAGGGTTTAGGGCAAGTTTAGGGTTGACTGCCCAAGCCCGGACGCAATAGGGTTTAGGGTTTAAGCAAACTACCCCCTGGAGACCTGAAGCAAAAAAGGGTTTAGACAACAGCCCGGATGCACAAAGGGTCATTTATCTGCCTGGTGTTTTGTTTCTGACACGAAATCTTGCATTGCGTGTGGCTTCAGACAAGTACAGTCACAAGTCGATTGTAAACTCCCCGCATCCGTCAAGTAAGTGGACTTGTCGTTCAAGAGTGTACTTTGGCATGTTCCCCTTGTACCCTATAATTCCTATTAAGGACTGTTAGTATAAGTACTATAATTCCTATTAAGGCCTGTTAGTATAAGGGGGAACATCCCAAGGTGTACTGGTAGCCGGAGCCTCTCCGCAATCGGGTCAAGGCTTCCTCCTTCGGCTTTAGGGCTTCGGCTCGGTCGGAGTCTTTCAGTAAGGCATTTCTGTTTGGGATGTCCTTAATACTTAACAGGGATACTAAAGGTCCTTAGTAGGGATGATGATAGGGGGTACTGCAATCCCTATTAAGGGCTGCTAGTACAAGGGCGAATTACTGTACATAACCCCACGGTGCTCTCCCCATCGACCCAAGACTCCAAGACACAGCAGCACTTGTTGGGACCTTGGCGGAGGTCAACTGCTGGAGGCAGACATCCGCAGAGGCTACAGGCTCGCATGGTCAGCTTCCGCTTGTTTTTGTTTTGCGGAAACCCTGCATCGTGAAAGTGAGGATGCCTGATGCACTTAAGTCGTTAATTAAGTTTGACAAGCCACCGCAATCCCCTAAGCCGGCGGCGATTTCCAGGGCGGCTGCCCGTCGCTTGCATCCTGATCGGGGAGGAAAGCGCGAGGAGTTTCAGGACATGCCGATAACGGCGAACCTAATGAAGCTGGACCTCAAAAGACTGCGATGCTCAGATGCTGTGAGGAGCTGCAGCGGTGTTACGAGACCGTCATGGCCGAAGCCGCTGCGCCTGCACTAGCCATGACACGTTCTTTTGCCACCGGCCAGGGCCAGTGCAGCTGTTCCAATCCTGCATTAAGCCCTAAACCCTAAACCCAAAGCTCGCCCGAAAAGGAGTGAAGAGTTGTTAAACACAAAACCTAAACCCTAAACCCTATATGGTCTACATTTATACAAAGGTAAAGGAGGATGAGGATGGCAAGCTGCGCCGCGCCTGGCTTGAGCAGATGAAGAAGGACATAGCATGTGCACGCAGCGTCCTGCTGTGGAGCCTCGCTCTATTACTAAAGCATTATCGCATTATTTTATTACGGACAGTATGTAATATCGTTTCTGGGATTCTAGTCTTACAGTATTGTAGTATTGTAGCATTATAGCATTATCGCATTTCAGTGTTATTGTATTAAATTGTATTTTGTATAATTGTCGAATGGTATTGTAGTATTGTAGTATGACCGAATTAAAGTAGTACCATGTTTTTTCATGCTTTCCATGAAGAGCCGCGTCTAGAAGCCACGCAAGGCACGTGACCGTGGGTTGTGTGATGCTGGAGCAGGATTTCGCCAATTTCAGCTGCTGCTGACTTCTCCCAACCGGGCACCTTCGCAAACCCTTGCCAGCAACGGGAGACAAAACAACTTGATGCGCTGTCCTTTGCACTGGAGTGGAATTGGATCAGTGCAATAAGCTTTGAAACTCACTCTGCCAAGCCGACGTATCCTACTACAGATCAAGTCAGCCGCCATCTCAAGCAGCCAAGTTCCTGCCAACTCTGCGCTGTTTCTTGAGCAATTCCAATTCTCAGAAAAAGGCCGTTCACAAAATTTCGGCTCAAGCCATTTGCAGCGAAGGGACTGTTCACGCCGTGAGGCTTTTTGCTGAAAGCATCATGCCCGAGACGATGGAGATCAGCGACGCCGCGAAGTCTGGGGACGGAACTACGACCAACGTGGGCATCAAGATGACGGGCACCTTCCAATGCCCAGAGTGCCGTCAGAAGTTTGACTCCGAGAAGGCGAAGCAGCTGCACTGGAAGTTCATCCATGACCCCAACAGGCACCAGGAGGACTAAGCGATGACCGCTCCTCTGAGAGCAACTCCGAATGCCCACCGAAGGCTCGGCCTTCAACGCCTGCTGGGCTCTGAGGGATGGGCGCGTGAGGTTCGGATTTTTCCCAGATGCGCTTTAGGGGTGTGGACGCCCAAGCCTTTCTAGCTGAAGTGGCACCCCCCCCGTGCATCTAGATCAAGACAGGTTGACGTGTGTAGCCACCATGGCACCGAGGACAAAAAACACCACCGCTCTCTTCGGTGATCTGCTGGGAATGGGTATGCATCCACCTTTTGCTAGACTATTATACCGTACTAGTTTTACATGTCATCACATTTACCCTTGTTTCAAGAGGCGGATGAAGAGTGCAAGTATGGGTATTATGATGTTGTTATAAGAGCCTGGGCCTGGAGCCCAGCAACTCAATTCTGACCCAGCAACTTAACCGTGGAGTGCTGTAAGCTCTCAAAGAACCCTAAACCCTAAACCCTAATCCCTAAACCGTAAACCCTAAACCCTAAACCCTAAACCCTAAACCCTAAACCCTAAACCCTAAACTCCTGGGCCTTGTGTGGCATTCTTTGCGCGCAGGATCCCGGCCGTGAACTGGAGGCCTCCACAGCGCAGCGCGCAGAGCTCGGCGCGGAGCTCGCCAAGGCTGAGGGTTTAGGGTTTAGGGTTTAGGGTCTAGGGTTTAGGGTTTAGGGTTTAGGGTTTAGGGTTTAATTAGGTTTAGGATTTAGGGTTAGGGTTAAGGGTTTGGTGCAGAGTCTGGGTTCAAAAAAAGGGTGTAGGTTTTAGGGCTTCGTTTTCAGGGTGGGTTCAGGGGGTTAGGGAGTTCAGTGTTCAGAAGGGTTTGGGAGTTTCAGGTAGAAAACTTTCAAAAGACATGGAGGCTTGAAGCTTGAGGGTTTGGGGTCTAGGGCTGTTGGTTCCGAAGTTCGGGATTTAAAGCTGGCTCTGGTTGATGAGCTTCGGGGTTTGGGCTAGGTTCATGGTTTCGGGGACTTGTCTTGGGTTTGGGAATCTAGGATTCATGGTTGTAATATGGAGTCCAGGATGAAGGATGGGGGTCCCTCCCAACCTCCCAGCTCCGCAACCCCTTAAAAGGTCCCTAGTTAAACCCTAAACCCTAAGACCCTTACACCCTTAAACCCTAAACCCTAAACCCAGCCTCCCAGCTCCGCAACCCCCTGAGGTGCAGGAACAGCTCCAGAGCGCGCAGGCAGAGATGGAGCAAGATCAGGCTGGCAGGGATTTGGGGGCTTTAGAAGGGTTTAGGGTTTAGGGTTTGAGGTGTGTGGCTAAGCGTGGGCCTCAGTCCTGGCCCTGGCATGAAGCAGTGGGACCAGGGGTGGCTCGGGTTTGGTTCGAGGCAGTGCCCGGGGTCCAGGGTATGGGGAAGTGTCCGTGCGACCGTGCGACCTGAGCGCACACCCCAAGGCTCCAAATAACCCAAAGGAGGCATTATTTACAGACTTTAGACCTCACTGTGTACTTGGAGCCCTAGGGAAAAAGGGAAGTGTCCGTGTAGCAGCACCCCCGCTACAGTGTTTCTGACGGTGCATGGGCCTTCGCGGACGCGAGTGCTCAAAAACCGAACTAGTCAGCAAATCAACCGCGGTTGATGCACGATCGAGCGATGGGAGTTACTGGATGGTTGTGCCTCTCTTCGGCGCTGGCCGTACTTGCGGCCGGTTCTGCAGCTTGCCAGTCATTGTGACCACGTGTTCTAGTTGTTTTCTTTCATGGCTGCAAGTAGGAATATGCTGGGCGGCCAGTGGGCAGAGTTTCTTGAATGCCGTGCCTTAGATTGGGTTACGTGGGTCATCCTGAATTTGTCCAAACCCATCTTAATTCTGGCCTTGAGGTCATGCTGTGCAAAAGCTGTGTGCATTCAGCTTTCTTCGCACCCTAGAATTAAGGGTAAGTGACAGCCGGGCTACTAAGGATTCGGCAAGACAATCTCAGGTAGTTCTTTCTCGTTCAACAACCATGTCCTTCGGTTTCGGGGCAGCCAGACACATGCATCAGAGAGCATCGCATGTGGAATCTGAGGCACAGGGAGAGTGCACAGCGCAGGGCTCGCGCAGGTGTCCTAGCAATGCCGGGACGTGCCTTTGCTGCAGGGCCATTGTCTATGAAGTATTGAAAATTGAGCAGACTAGCCGTTTAGATCGGCCCTAGCCTAAACCTAAACCCTAAACTCTCAAGGTCTTGGCTGCAGATGAAGGGCACCGTCCGATCGCAAGCGCGCGGCTGCTTGCTTGCAAGATCAGTTGGGCGCTTGACTCCAGTGATATCCCCTGGCCCGCACCTTGCCTCACATGAAAGAACCCTTGTGCAGCGACTCCCCCTCAAAAGATCAAATACTTAATATTATAGTATATGATAGTATTTTTGTATATTAAAGTATATTATTGTATACTATAGTATATGATCGTATATGATAGTAGATGATAGTATATTGTATAGTTATATATATATATATATATATGTATATATATATATATGTATATATATATATATATATATAATGTATTACTTTCTTCTACTCCAATATATTATGCACTATACATATGAGTTATACAAGTATATTCTCTTAGAATACAGGGGCGAGTGCGAGGACATGGGGAGCCTGAGTTCTTTCCCGTCCACGGCGGGGTGGACAAGTCCTGCCTCGGGCTCCTTGGCTTAGGGTTTAGGGTTTAGGGTTTAGGGTTTAGGGTTTAGGGTTTAGAGATGTGGAGGAAGCTGAGCAGATGCTGCACATAAAAGCTGTGACAGGAGCTTTGCCGCAGAGGCCTAATTCGATTTCAGAACGACGTCGTACGTAACTGCAGCGGGGTGGGTTGTGTGGAGCCTTGCCTGCCTCGAGCAAGACTCAGAGCAGGAGTTATCCCCCGAAACCGCCAGCCCTGTCAGGAAAAAAAGGCAAAGGTAGCCCTAAACCCTATACCCTATACCCTATAAACCCTATACCCTATACCCTATACCCTATAAACCCTAAACCCTAAAGTAAGCCTCTCATACCATCAGCTCGGCAGGTGGCAAAGAGCAAAACCCTCAACCTCTCAGCCTGACACACCAAGGCCCTCGGCGAGCCGCGCCGCAGGCCACAGCATGGAGACGGAAGCCACGTGGCGCCAGGGGGGTTTAGGGTTTAGGGTTTTAGGGTTAGGCCGGGAAAGCAGCTGTGCAGACCTGGTTGTAAAAGGGTTAGGCTCCGGGGCTTGGGCATTTCGGGCTTAGGGTTGAGGGTTTAGGGCTAGGACCCCGAGTAGGCCCTTATTTCCTTTCTTTAGGGTTGGGGTTCCCTTAGAATCCCCTTTAAACCAGAAAGGGTGCCCTTTTGTCCTCTTGGGTCTAGGCTTAATGCAGGGGTCGGAATAATTACGAATAGTATTCCCCTTTCATGGTCCGTTTCTGGTTATACGATAAGAAGCCCCCAAAAAAAACCCTAGTCTACTGATGAAGGACCCGTAGAGTAGGCCAGGAGCAGCACCACTCACAGTCCCGGAAGCGTACAGGCGACACTTATTTGCTTCAGAAACCCTCCCAAAGAATGAAAAAGGTTCTTCCTAATAGGGGTAAGTACGTAGGACCTTTCTGCTCTATTTGGCTTTGCTCTCTGCCTGACTAACTTTTCAGGATTTTAAGGATTTTAAGGATTTTAAAGATTTAAAAAGGCTTTAACATCCTTAAAACCCTTAAAGTTTTTGGAAAATCCATTTCCTAAAACTTTAAGGATTTTAAGGGTTTTAAGGCCTTTTTAAAATCTTTAAAATCCTTAAAAACCTTAAAGTTTTTGGAAAATCCATTTCCAAAAATTTTAAGGATTTTAAGGGTTTTAAGGCCTTTTTAAAACCTTTAAAATCCTTAAAATCCTTAAAGTTTTTGGAAAATCCATTTCCAAAAGTTTTAAGGATTTTAAGGATTTTAAGGATTTTAAAGATTTTAAAGGGGTCCCGGAGGCCCAGGGGCCCCGGGCCACCTTTTAAAATCTTTAAAACCTTTAAAATCTTTAAAATCCTTAAAGTTTTTGGAAAATCCATTTCCTAAAACTTTAAGGATTTTAAGGGTTTTAAGGCCTTTTTAAAACCTTTAAAATCCTTAAAATCCTTAAAGTTTTTGGAAAATCCATTTCCAAAAATTTTAAGGATTTTAAGGATTTTAAGGATTTTAAGGATTTTAAAGATTTTAAAGGGGTCCCGGAGGCCCAGGAGCCCCGGGCCACCTTTTAAAATCTTAAAAACCTTTAAAATCTTTAAAATCCTTAAAGTTTTTGGAAAATCCATTTCCTAAAACTTTAAGGGTTTTAAGGGTTTTACGGCCTTTTTAAAACATTTAAAATCCTTAAAATCCTTAAAGTTTTTGGAAAATCCACTTCCAAAAATTTTAAGGATTTTAAGGGTTTTAAGGTTTTTAAGGATTTTAAAGATTTTAAAGGGGTCCCGGAGGCCCAGGAGCCCCGGGCCACCTTTTAAAATCTTTAAAACCTTTAAAATCTTTAAAATCCTTAAAGTTTTTGGAAAATCCATTTCCTAAAACTTTAAGGATTTTAAGGGTTTTAAGGCCTTTTTAAAACCTTTAAAATCCTTAAAATCCTTAAAGTTTTTGGAAAATCCACTTCCAAAAATTTTAAGGATTTTAAGGATTTTAAAGATTTTAAAGGGGTCCCGGAGGCCCAGGAGCCCCGGGCCACCTTTTAAAATCTTTAAAACCTTTAAAATCTTTAAAACCCTTAAAGTTTTTGGAAAATCCATTTCCTAAAACTTTAAGGATTTTAAGGGTTTTAAGGCCTTTTTAAAACCTTTAAAATCCTTAAAATCCTTAAAGTTTTTGGAAAATCCACTTCCAAAAATTTTAAGGATTTTAAGGATTTTAAGGATTTTAAAGATTTTAAAGGGGTCCCGGAGGCCCAGGAGCCCCGGGCCACCTTTTAAAATCTTTAAAACCTTTAAAATCTTTAAAATCCTTAAAGTTTTTGGAAAATCCATTTCCTAAAACTTTAAGGATTTTAAGGGTTTTAAGGCCTTTTTAAAACCTTTAAAATCCTTAAAACCCTTAAAGTTTTTGGAAAATCCATTTCCAAAAGTTTTAAAGATTTTAAGGATTTTAAGGACTTTAAAGATTTTAAAGGGGTCCCGGAGGCCCAGGAGCCCCGGGCCACCTTTTAAAATCTTTAAAACCTTTAAAATCCTTAAAATCCTTAAAGTTTTTGGAAAATCCATTTCCTAAAACTTTAAGGATTTTAAGGGTTTTAAGGCCTTTTTAAAACCTTTAAAATCCTTAAAATCCTTAAAGTTTTTGGAAAATCCACTTCCAAAAATTTTAAGGATTTTAAGGATTTTAAGGATTTTAAAGATTTTAAAGGGGTCCCGGAGGCCCAGGAGCCCCGGGCCACCTTTTAAAATCTTTAAAACCTTTAAAATCTTTAAAATCCTTAAAGTTTTTGGAAAATCCATTTCCTAAAACTTTAAGGATTTTAAGGGTTTTAAGGCCTTTTTAAAACCTTTAAAATCCTTAAAACCCTTAAAGTTTTTGGAAAATCCATTTCCAAAAGTTTTAAAGATTTTAAGGATTTTAAGGATTTTAAAGATTTTAAAGGGGTCCCGGAGGCCCAGGAGCCCCGGGCCACCTTTTAAAATCTTTAAAACCTTTAAAATCTTTAAAATCCTTAAAGTTTTTGGAAAATCCATTTCCTAAAACTTTAAGGATTTTAAGGGTTTTAAGGCCTTTTTAAAACCTTTAAAATCCTTAAAATCCTTAAAGTTTTTGGAAAATCCATTTCCAAAAATTTTAAGGATTTTAAGGATTTTAAGGATTTTAAAGATTTTAAAGGGGTCCCGGAGGCCCAGGAGCCCCGGGCCACCTTTTAAAATCTTTAAAACCTTTAAAATCTTTAAAACCCTTAAAGTTTTTGGAAAATCCATTTCCTAAAACTTTAAGGATTTTAAGGGTTTTAAGGCCTTTTTAAAACCTTTAAAATCCTTAAAATCCTTAAAGTTTTTGGAAAATCCATTTCCAAAAATTTTAAGGATTTTAAGGATTTTAAGGATTTTAAATGGGCCTCCAGAAAGGCGCGGCTCGATTTGGCCAAATTTTGCCGGGCAGGCTCCGGGCAAAATTTGGCCCGGAGCCTGTCCGGCAAAATTTGGCCAAATCGAGCCGCGCATTTCTCATCGCATACGAAGAGCAACCCGATTTGGCCAAATTTTGCCCGGAGCCTGCCCGGCAAAATTTGGCCAAATCGAGCCGCGACCTTCTGGAGGCCCGAAATTATTTAACTTCAAAATACTTAACATCCTTAAAGTTTTTGGAAAATCCCTTTCCAAAAATTTTATGGATTTTAAAGATTTTAAAGGGGTCCTGGAGGCCTAGGGGCACCGGGCCACCTTTTAAAATCTTTTAAAATCCTTAAAACCT